TGACCTGGCCAGCTTTTTCCACCAATCAACCACGATACACGTTGTTCGTGGCTCCGGTTTTTTGACTTTTGATATGATATTTTTTAGGTGATGTTTAGCTTTGAGCAGTACGGCCAGCACATTTTGCGGATTAACACAAAGAGTTGGACACTATTTTGGGATACACGTTGTTCGTGGCTCCGGTTTTTTCACTTTTGATATGATATTCTTTAGGTGATGTTTAGCTTTGAGCTGTACGGCCAGCACATTTTGCTGATTAACACATAGAGTTGGACACTATTTTGAGCTTGTTTGTAGCGTACTGTAGCTTCTAGGTAATGAGACTGAATTGGTCTTATCACATCTGTCTGCACCAAAAAGTGATTAATTCAGTCAACCGACTCAACGGAGATCAGTCACCTAGGTATATGACTTGTATGTCGTTTGGCCTGAAATTATTCATACTAACTTCTTTATGTTTATACGTCCTGGTTCGTTTTCGCCTCGTTTCACAGCTATAAAAATCGATATGACATGGTTGAAAACAATTTTCCGTCAGTGCATGTGCTCGAACAGCATTCCCTTCTCTGTAGCAAGGTTCTCGGTAGAAAATTTGTCTTTCCGTGCATACACACTCAGCCGTGATATCGACCGTCTTCTAGGTGAAGATTCCGAATCTTTGTGTGTGTGTGTGTGTGTGTGTGTATAGGCCGTGCATATGTAGGTATTATGAACGATGTATCCCACCATCTATTTTCTGCAGCTTAAGTCAATTATGATGTAGGATACTTGTTGAAACGGATTCCCTGAATCCCTATCCTGTCAACGAAACATCCAATTTCATGCATCCAAATGTCATTATTCATTGAGGTAAGTTGTTTGGTGGAACTCGTTAAAGTCCGCTTCATAGTTTCAGTTGATTGGAGTGTAAGTGGTAAAAGTTCAGGGGTCTCGTAGCCGAAAACAATTTCCCAACTTAGTAACTTTAATCCATGAGCTCTGTTCAAAGCAAACATAGCCTTATGATGACTATATTATGCAGGTTACGTTTGCAAACCTTTTGAATATGATAATAAATGGCTGTGTGCATCATCATCATCACCGACAGCATGACATCAGTGTTCAACACCGATGCTTCACTGCCGTAAAATGGCAACTCTGGTTGGCTAAAGTGTGTTGTTGTGAACTAGGACAGCAGTCATGACATGAATCGAAGCTGACGCTGACGTATTCAGATCATCACAATATGCGCTCACTTGGCAACAATAGACTGAAAGTGAGCTCACATGAAAATGTACAGTGCAAAACGTCATAATTTGTCCTATCTGGCTATAAGACTAAGTTGCAAGTTTTTAAGTCAGCGGGTGCTTAGCACTAATGATGAAGATGTTACCGGTTTGTTCAGATTGCCGAATTCATCACAGCAAACGGAACGCGTACAAACACAACCTAACACCTAGTTGGCATGAATTCATCTGAGTTGTGCAGACTGAGCGAAATTTGTGTGATCGATTTTCTGCACTCTCTGTACTGTTTGTCGTCGGGCATCACACGGAACTCTGATTAAACGACTGAGGTCATGAATTAATTTAAGCGGCACTTGAAACAGTTTCAGGTGGATCTTATCGAATCATTGCCGACGCTTTGGTAAGAACACGGGTTTCCTGTCCAGCGTATTTTTTAAGCAAAATGGAAGTTATCGCGGAAAATGACATGCGTACCCGATTCTGCATTTTCTTCAACTGTGTGTTTTACAGTGATCATGTTTTATTCACCACTTTTGGCCATCGTTTTCGCCTTAATGTCGTGCCCCTTAAAAAAGGGATTCTCACATCTGCGGTGGTGCCAGCCAAATTTATTGCTTTCGACTTTTCACAGTGACGATTGAACTTGGAAACTGGATTCGGATGTATTTTACTAATGAACCAGTAGCTAAAATTTTCTCAGTTCGAGACTCCCTGGAGTTCCTGAGATGCGCACTGCTCATGATTCCGAACAGTGATGCTTTCCAGCATAGACTAGCTTCACTTCAAGACGAAATATCGATTGAAAATTACCAAATCTCATATCGCCATCAATAGTCTGTTTAAACTCTCCAGGTGCGTCCAGGTTTGAACGGTAGAGGATGAAAGGTTGTCGCCAGATCTCGCTTTTTGCGTTGAGAGCTTGGAATCAGCTGGAGAATTCGGTGGTTGACACAGTTTCGACAGTCGTTCACCGCTGTCATTTATCACATCGAAATCTAATTACGGTAAAACCTGTTTATCAGTACGTGCATTTTTGTCATACTGACAAGCCAGCAAGAGCTTCATGCACAAAAAAGGTGACTTCTTAGCAATATCCAGCTGCAAATACCGCAAATATTCATGCAAATTTCTTAAGCAGTTCATCCAGTTGCTCCTAGCATTCTTTGATCGCACTTGTTCATTACACACCCAGAGATGTCTAACACTACCGCCTGAGCTCGGTGTCGTCTCTCTCTCTCTCTCTCTCTCTCCCAACGAACTCTTTATTCTCACAACAAAGGCTATTGTTGATAGGTGTCGGTGACTGAGGGCTATGTGCATGTGCGGACGTCTGAATGTGATAGCTTTGATCCTCTGGAGCAACTTAGAAGACAAGCTTTCTTTGAAGACTGTGGGGATTTTTTTTCGAAAGATTGAACTGAAATTCCAAAAGGACAACATGTGTGTAATCGGGGTCTTGATCGTGAAAGCTACGATGGCTTATGGATCGGCCTACGTGATAGTTCATGTGTTAGATGAAGCTAATTGGAAAAGGGGGTCGCCTGAAGCAAGGCGGTACGAACTTTTGGAGTTTGGTTCGGGTAGCCGTGGTTATGGCTTGTATCTTCAGTGCCAAACAGAAGACAGCTACATTGGTTTTCTAAAAACTTTCTGTTTCGTTCCTACGTGCTTTCGTACATATGTTCGTGTTCTCCCCCAACAGATATCAGTGAACTTGAAACTATCTAGTTATCCAGGTCAAACATGATCAGATTAGGGTCCAGCTGGAACCTTTGGCCGACCAAAAGAAAGGGATGAAGCTCGATTGCCGCAATCCGTTAGACACCATCAACTGAGGTTCAAATCATACGTCTTTCAGATGCAGGATGCCTAATGCACCTTCGACCAACTTTCCACCGACTAGCATCATCTTTCCGTACCAATTATATGCGTGTCCATAGCCACGGGTATCCAATGCATTGTCCGTATTAAAATCGGGATTTAAGTTACTCCAAGGCTCATTCGAAAACTATTTTCTATCGGGGAAACACTCGGGGAGGTACTTTCAATGGGCAGCTTTAAGGAACCACTTGTTAAGTGGGGCACATTTATTTGTGAGCTACATCCACACATAATGAGTCAAATATAGATATGATTGATGCTTGACAACCCTGAAGCGTCCATTGTACTTGATACCGTTTTGTTCTGAGCGTGACTACGGTGACGTTGCAGGGCTGACTTGAAAAATAAACCAATCTAACTTTATGCTTTCATGTATACCATATTTAAAGTACATTGCATACCCAATGAATGAATTCCTTTGGATCGTGTTATGAGTACTTGAACCCTTACTAGGGTTTTGACTAATAGCTCATAAATTTGCGATTTTATTAGACCCCATATGTTTACCATGGTTAGGGTCCTAACTCGTCCTTCGTTTGTTAAGCAGGATCGTAGCTGCCGGCACATGACCTGGCTTTTGCAAACTATTGTTCGTTTAGTTGGCAAAAAACTTTTTCATTTATTTTAAGTTGTTTGTCCAACTGTTCCCGAATAACCCGCCCTCGAACGTATACCGTCTTAGGCCATGTTTATGGTCTGCTTTGTGTGCGATTGTACTGCTGTGTGTGGAGCAATCGGGCCTGGCTCAACTCGAAGTTTCACAAGAAATATAGCATTGTAACTGACACTGAAGCCCTATGCCTAGGATACTCAACTGGAGTGTCAAGATAATAAACACCCCTAATCACCCTTTAAAACATTTGTTCACAGTTAATTTGGCCCGAAAGACCCGACGGAATCCATTGGCCGTTGACATTCCATGTTCCCGCATTAACTGTCGGCGCTACTTTTTTCAGTCCGCGTATCCCTCACGTGGAACAAACTACCAACATCTGTTGTGGATTGTGGTAACCTCGAGACTTTCAAACATTCGCTTGACGAATACATAAGATCTCACCCAACTTCCCTCATCAACATTTGAGATGCAGATTACAAACAATAGAACATATATGTCATATCATTCCGTTTATCTGTATACATACACACACAC